AAAAAAAACACCGGAGAAAAAAATTAAAAATTTTGATGAATTTTTTTTTTTTAAAGTTTTATTAAAACTTTAAGTTTGGTTTACATATATGGTATTTGTTAGGGAATGAACTGTATTTTAATTAAAAAATCTTAAATAATGCTACGATCTTGGTTTTAAACTACGTATACTTTATTAAATTTTCATGTTTTATTCAAGAATTTATATATTTATGTAAGTTAATAAAAAGATGTAACAACATCAATAATTATGTTCGCTTAAGTACTCGCATCGAGCTACTTAAGCGGGTTCTTTTAAGTACCCAACCCGCCTACCTCAAAAAGCTGTCATTTTTCGTGAGGTACTTAAGCGGGTTTTACTGTATACATATAAGGTATCGAATCTTCAGCCGACTTCTTTATCATTTATACTTCAGTTTTTACTCCTACTGGTTATTTGCATACATTGTTCTACCGGAACAATAATATTAAAAAATGACATTATATTATTTATGGCTCGTAACTAACGGAAAAATATTCCAAAGCAATTTTCTACACTTTCATAATTGTTCTAGCAATCTCCTACAGCTAACATATTAAAATTTCTGAGTAAAAGTTTGTAACCCAAGACGTGTCCCTACCGCCCGTAAATAGGGTGTATAAATACTGAGAGCTTTCAGTAACTTTAAGTTTTCGTGGAATTTTAAAGGGCGCCAAGCGGTTTTTAAGTTAAGTAGAAAACAGCAGAGACCCGTTTGAGTCTTCTTACCACCACAGTGACAGTGCAAATGAAGTCTTTTAAGTTATTTCTGTCCTACATTTGTATTTTGGCATTTATTAAGATTAACTTTGGCTATTCTTCTGTGGTTCAAAAAGGAAACACTTGCTATTCAAACGTGCAACGAAAAAATGATGGCGCTCGAAGGGCATATGAAAATAAGCTAAGAAGTTGTAGTGAAAATAACCAAATTTGCTTAGAAGCTGCTGCAAAAGAGTATAAGTTATTGAAGGAGCGATTTATAAGACAATTTGAGCTATGCGTAACAGCTGAATGTGATAAAAGTGAAAGTCGGTTAGGTGAGCCAACAGTGGGAAAACGCATAAAGAGCGCATACTGTAAGCAATTTCGGTTAGAGAAAGATAATGTCACCAGAAAGCGCAGGTTTGCATTTTTCTCTTCAGAATCGAGTTATTCGAGTCTGCAAACAAGCGAAAGTAAAAACTCTGATTACGAAAACGATGATATTTCATCTTCAGAGCAAGACGAAAATAGCTCCCTAAGTATTGAAGCTAGCATAAGTGATAGTTCTGTGGAAAACTCCGACGATAATCGGGTTTTGCAAACAAATAAAGAGAGTTCTATTAGTAGGGCAAATGAAGAAACTGAGGAATCCGATGGCAGCGTCGTCAGTATTTCGTTATCAATTAATGATATTAGCCAATCGGATGAAAGCCGATCTTTATATGGATGGACACTCGAAAATGACAGTTATGATATTAAACACGACGATAAATCGTACTCGGAAACCGACGAAGACAGCTCGTCAACTGATGAATCAAGCGAAACCGATGAAATCAATTCTCCAATTGATGACATTACCCTAAATAATGGTTTTGAAGACCACGATGAACCTTCCTATAGGGCAACTGAAGAAACTGACGAATCCGATGGCAGCGTCGTCAGTATTTCGTTATCAATTAATGATATTAGCCAAACGGATGAAAGCCGATCTTTATATGGAAGGACACTCGAAAATGACAGTGATGATAATAAACACGACGATAACTCATTCTCGGAAACAGATGAAAACAGCTCGTCAACTGATGAATCAAGCGAAACCGATGAAATCAATTCTCCAATTGATGAAATTAGCCTAAATAATGGTTTTGAAGACCACGATGAATCTTCCTATTCGGCAATAAATGGGGACAGTTCGTCAACTTACGAAACAAAAGAAACGAGGGAAGACCATTCAAGTGAAGATTGTTGTGAAAGCGGTTGTACTGATGAAAGCTCTAGTGAAACTTCATCCTCAGAAACTGCAGAGAGCAGTGCATCGGAAAACAGCGGAAAACCTGGAAAGGACTCCGACGAAGGGGCTTCACGTTCTACTACAAAAACATCCGAAGAAAACGACTACTCTGCAAATCCTACGCCAGGCAAAATTGAAGGAAGTGAGTCCGCCACTTCAACTGAAGAACGTTTGTTTACAACCAAGAGCACCGATACTGATCAGCCTAAATCTTCAACTGGCAATGAGGAATCAACGCTCAATCCATATGCAATCACCTCTTCCACGGGATCGATAAAAGGTCCTACGCCTACCACAACTGAAGCAGGTGAGATCTCCTCTTCAACGGAAGAAATTTTATCTACAACCAAGAGCGGAGCTACAGATCAGATTTCATCTTCAACTGGCAATGAGGGATCAACGCTCAACCCATATGCAAGCACTTCTTCCACGGAATCGATAACAAGTCCTACGGCTAGCACAAATGAAGCAGGTGAGATCTCTTCAACGGTAGACATTTTACCTACAACCAAGAGCGAAGCTACTGATCAGATTTCATCTTCAACTGGCAATGAGGAATCAACGCTCACTCCATATGCAAGCACTTCTTCCACAGAATCGATAACAAGACCTACGGCTACAACCACTGAAGAAGGTGAGATCTCCTCTTCCTCAGAAGAAATTTTATCTAC